ATTACCTACGTGTTAACCAAGTTCGTGAAGACGGGCTGAAGGCCACGACACTGCTGTGTGTTTGCAGTCAAGCAACATTCGACATTGCAGAGAACTTGGTTGCACCAGTGCCACTTGAGTCCATTGCATTTGCAGAACTGAAAAAGATGCTCAAGGAACATTTTGAGCCGAAGCTTTCGGTCATCGCTTGGCGACACGCCTTTGAACAGCAAGACCAGCGTCCCGGCAAGTCCGCTGTCGATTTCATAGCTGCTCTTCACCAAGCTGCAAGGCAATGAGATTCAAGGACCTTGAAGAAAGGCTGTGGGACCATTTAGTTTGTGGTCTTAGGAGCCGAGAACTTCAACAAAAGATCTTTGCCAAAGAGACCATCTCTTTTCAAGATGCGTTGAGGGAGATAACGGCCAAAGAAGCAGCAGGCAAAGCTGTTAAGGCCTTGCGGCTCTTCAAGAACCTTCCTTGCTCGGAAACCATCCACCAAAAGGACGCCGAGTTGAAGACTCCGAATCGGACCACGAAGTTGATTGGTTGCAATGGCAACCAAGTTGAAGGTCTCAATGGCAACCTGACAAGGTAGTTCCCTTCTCTCAGTTCCCTTTACTACTGCTGCCTCTTCAATGCTAAACCAAGCAGAAAATAGAATGCCATATTTTATATACCTTTGATTTTAGATTGATTGGCATGTGTCGATCACAGAGCATACCAGTGATCTCCTTCCACTGTAACCATACTTTGTTTATTCTTGCACAAACGTTGTTTTTGATGCTGCCATCACTTTGTGGATGGGATCCTAGGTAATAAAAGGAGTTGGTCTTCACTAGATTTTCACTGCTGACTTGTATGGTGTGTTGCTCGGGCTGATCTCTAAATATTCAGTCTTTCTGATATTGAGACACAGGCTAAATTGGCTAAGATGGTCTGCACATACTACTGCAATTCTTATCTAGTGATAGCTGTGAGTATTACATCTTAGGCATAGAACAAAGTCTGGGGGATGTCATGTTGTATGTTTTTTTTTTCAGGATAGTGAAAACAAGTGAGTGGCATAGTGGCCTAGAGATGAAGTTGCTTGCCTCCCATTCGGAAGGTTGAGAGTTCAATCCTAGGTAGCAACAGATGTTTCTCTCTTAGGGCACAAAATGAAAATATCTGTTGTGAACTCTACATAGATGTCAGGAACGGCATCTGGCCAGTAAATGATCAGCTCCATTCAGTTGCCCCAACTCAACCCTGAATTAAGGGATTACAGGGTTATAAAGAAAGCTATCAGAAAGGCTGACAGTACATTTCATGCAACTGCTGGTGTTTGTAAGCAGCATCTGGTATTTGTAAGCAGCATCTGGTAAGTGAACTTTACCCCATTTTACAAGATAGGTCAGTGATGGCGAACCTTTTAGAGACTGAGTGCCCAAAAACTGCCCCTGCCTCCCCGCCCGCCCACCTCTGCGCCCCGCCCACTCCACCCCCACTCCCCTGCAAGGCCACCCACCGCCTCCACAGCCCACCACAGTAGATCGCCCAGGCAGCCCAGCAGCACCATGGCAGCCACGCCCTCCGCCCATGCCCCGCAGCATCATCTGCGTGTGACGGCACGAGGGGGGAGTCTTGTCCCTGCTGCCCAACTGCCATGTCCTTGGCTGCAGTGCTCTGTGTGGACCGTGCTCAAGGGCGACTCTGCTCCAGGGGGGCTGCTGGTGAGAAGGGGGCCACGGGGAGGTGGGGCTGGGGCAACAGTACATGTGCCCACAGAGAGGGCTCTGAGTGCCGCCTCTGGCACGCGTGCCATAGGTTCGCCACCCTGAGATAGGTTATCCAGAAGACAGGCTTAAGATACAGAAAGATCTTGACAGATTTGAACACTGGGCGCTATCTAACAAAATGAAATTCAATAGTGAAAAAAGTAAGGTTCTACATTTAGGCAAGAAAAACCAAATGTACAGGTATAGTATAGGTGGTACCTTGGTCAATAGTAATAACTGTGAGAGGGATCTCGAAGTCCTAGTGGACAATCACTTAAATATGAGCCAGCAGTGTGCTGTAGCTGCCAAAAAGGCCAACACACTGCTAGGCTGCATTAACAGAGGGATAGAATCAAGATCACGTGAAGTGTTAATACCACTTTACAATGCCTTGGTAAAGCCACACTTGGAATACTGCATCCAGTTTTGGTCACCACAATGTAAAAAAGATGTTGAGACTCTAGAAAGAGTACAGAGAAGAGCAACAAAGATGATTAGGGGACTGGAAGCTAAAACATATGAGGAACGGTTGCTGGAATTGGGTATGTCTAGTTTAATGAAGAGACAGATGAGGGGGGGACATGATAGCAGTGTTCCAATATCTTGGGCTGCCAGAAAGAAGAGGGAGTCAGGTTATTCTCCAAAGCACCTGAAGGCAAGACAAGAAGCAACAGATGGAAACTAATCAAAGAGAGAAGCAACCTAGAACTAAGGAGAAATTTCCTGAAAGAACAATTAATCAATGGAACAACTTGCCTCCAGAAGTTGTGAATACTCCAACACTGGAAGTTTTTAAGAAGAGACTGATCAACCATTTGTCTGAAATGGTATAGGGCAGTGGTTCTCAACCTTTTTAATGCCGCGACCCCAACCGGTCGTAGGTCGAGGACTAAACCAGTCGTAAGTCGAGGACTAAACCGGTCATAAGTCGAGGACTACCCAACCGGTCGTAAGTCGAGGACTTTCCCTGCCCGGGAGCGCCGCGCATGCATGGTTCCGCCCCCTGCGCCGGCCGAGGCGTAGCTGGCAAGCGGCAGAGACGGAGCAGGCCGACCACCAGCTGGCCCAGCTCAAGGGAGGTAAGGCACCTGCCGGAAAAGGGGAAAAAAAATGGCAGACAGCCTTGCTTGGCGCCCCCCGTGAAATGGTCGATCGACCCCAAATGGGGTCGCGACCCATAGGTTGAGAACTACTGGTATAGGGTTTCCTGCCTGAGCAGAGGGTTGGACGAGAAGACCTCCAAGGTGTCTTCCAACTTTTTTATTATTATTATTATTATTATTATTATTATTATTATTATTATTATTATTATTATTATTATTATTATTATTATTATTATTATTATTAATTTCCTTTCTTGTTTAGTTGTTCAGTTAGTAACATGGTTGTTAAGTGAATATGGCTTCCACATTGACTTTGCTTGTCAAAAGGGTCCCAAAGGTGATCGCAAGATCCTGAAGCACTGCAATCATCATAAATTTGAGTTAGTTGCCAAGTGTCTGAATTTTGATCCCATGATCATAGGGATACTGCGAAGGTCGTAAGTGTGGGAAATGATCATAAATCACTTTTTTCAGTGCTGTTGTAACTTTGAATGATCATTAAATGAACTGTTGTAAGTCCAGGACTACCTGTAATGACAGACCTCCTGGAATATGAATGATTGTTTACAATTGCATTTCTAGTGCTCAGCAGTGTTTACAGGGGTTAAGCCTCTTCCCTATGCTTTTCACAGACAGATGCTTCCTGACAGCCTTGTTTACATAAAGATAGTATGCTTTTATCTTCCATGGAAAATGTATTGCATTGCAGTGAAAATCAGAATTACCTGAGTTCATGTGCCATTCTACAGGGAAATCACAAACATTCCAAGAACATAGTTATTTTAAGCACATAGTTATTTGTCCTAGAGCTGACTGATACAGTATGTCATGACTGTTCTTGCTGCCAACTGATGAAAATTATGCTGTCTTTGGCAAACAATGGAATAAATCTGTTTGCTCATTTGTTTGTTCTCTACACTTCAAAACTGATTCCTGTATCTGGTTAATATATGTTTTTATTCAACCTGAATATCCTAAATCCCTACATTATTATAGTATGCATTTTATTGTTGGAATCTTCCTTTCCACCATGCCAATATGCTGAGATAGTCTCAAATCCCTATTTCACAAAAACTCCCAGTTGCTCCCATAGAAGAAACCTGATTTAAGAGCATAGCAGTCTTAGTGGCCTGTCTCCACTTTTGTAAACTATGCATGGTGTAATGCAGGGGTCCCCAACCCCCGGTCTGTGGCATGCCAGAAACCGGTCCGCACAAACATACAAAGCCCCATCCACGAGATGTAGGCAGCACACAAAACCATGCCCCCTCCGGTCCACGGAAAAACCTTTCTCCACAGAACTGGTTCCTGGTGTCCAAAAGGTTGAGGATCGCTGGTGTAGTGGGTAGTTTTTCTTCACATATTCTGAATTTGATTAACTTCTGATTTACCTGTTGCTTGCTTACAATGATGCTAAGGCTGTTTCTTCACTAATGACTTACAGCATCTTCAGAGCACCACTCTAAAGTAATATAAAGCCCATCCTCATTAATATAATGTTGACATAGCCATTGTTGAAAGACTACAAAACACAATAAGTTGCTAGTACTAGTGACCTAAATAATTTATTTCCAGCACAGGTTGCAGTTTCTCAAGCTGCAGCACTTGCAGTTCTCCCAGACATTGGATTGGTGGGGTTTTCCTCTAACTTTCTGCAATCAGCTAAACAAACTCTGAAGATAACTCCAAACTCTACTATTGCGGCCCATCAGCTGTTATTTGCAACTGTAGTTCAACTGATCTTCCAACTTACTTCCCATGCACATTTGAGATTTAACTCACATTTTGTACAAATAGCAGTTGTACTATGTACTTCATAGAGCAACATTACTCTATTAAGAGTAATTTGAAGCCTATTCATTTGTTTGTGGAATAATAAAAATGCATAAAAGAACAATGTAGCAATAAGTTCAGGAATCTTTTCAAAATGAGGTAATCTGTTATTTAGTTCCTTTTTTGTGATCCATAGTCTTTTAGTACATGCATTGTCCATTTTTGGCACAGTGAAAGATTAAAACTGTCATGAAAGGGCGTTTACTTTTAAATCGAAGCCATGAATTCTAAGCTTCCACTTTTTGGACCCACTCCAGTGAGGTCCCATTTCCTGCAGAAAATAGATAAAAGTCTCTTGCCATCTAGCAGCTGTTGAATTGTCTTTGGGACTGCCTTATTTAAATAGCTGGTGAGTCTTCAAGCCATATCTTTGCAGCAATGAACCCAAAAGCTCTCCTTGTTCTTCTTGTACTTGCTTTGGTTACGATTTTTGCCTTGGTGTGTGTGTTGGTGACCAGGAGGGAGAAGTCTAGTCATTGTGGTGCTAAGTCACCTATTTCCTTGGATGAAAATCAGAAGAACAAGAATATGATATTTGCTGCCCTGTCAGCAGAAGAGATGGTACAGGTGGTGAAATATCTGCAACAAAGGTTGCCCTTGGTAGACGCTTCTCATGCTCTATTTTCTAATAATTTCATTTATTATGTTGATGTCAATCTCCCCCGAAAGGAAGAGGTGCTGAAATTTCTTGATCATGATGGACCACGCCCTCCTCGACAAGCATTGGCTGTGGTGTACTTTGGAGATCAACCAGTACCAAATATCACTGAGTATGTTGTAGGGCCACTTCCAGTGCCCACACATCATTGGGATATGACAGTACAAAAGTATGGAAAGAAATTATCCTATCATGGCAGAACCATAATTCTCAGTGAGTTTGGGGATATTAGGACATTCGTAGTGGAGAAGAAATTTCTAGAGGCACCCACTTTTATGACTCAAGTATTTGGACATAATGGAAGCAATTTTGAAGATATCCTCGCAGTACCTGGGGGATTTCAGTCTGGAGATCGCTGTTCCTGGGTTACTTTGTTTCAGAATGTAAGTGGCTTTTTCCTGCATCCATTGGGACTCGAGGTGCTTGTTGACCACAGCAGCCTGAATATCTCTCACTGGAAAGTTCCAAAAGTATTTTATAATGGCCAATATTTTAACAGTTTGGCAGAACTGGAAAAAGAATTCAAAGCAAAGCGGGTGATCGTTGCAAAAGTTAAGCCAGTTTCTTCTGATGGGGGCTTTTCTTCACTTCATCCAAGGACACCCCCTCTAAAACCTGGATCCTTCTATCATGAGCCCTTTGAGCCACACTACAATGTGAGAAACAACCAAGTAACTACCCCAAACTGGAGTTTTGCCTTTCGGATGGACGTACATAGAGGACTCCATCTCTATGATATCCGATTTAAGGATCAAAGAATTGTATACGAACTCAGTGTGCAGGATGCCATTTCTATCTATGGCTCCAATAGTCCTAGTGGAATGTTAACCCGATATATGGATGCAAGTTTTGGAATGGGAAGATTTGCATATTCATTAGTTCGTGGAGTTGATTGCCCTTACTCTGCCACTTACCTCGATGCTGTTTATTTAATTGAAAACATCAAACCAGAGGTACACAAGAACTCAATTTGTGTCTTTAAGCAGAGTGCAGGGACCCCTTTCCGGCGTCATTTTTCCAATTTTCAGTCTGTCTATTACGGGGGACTGGCTAGCTCTGCATTAGTTACGCGTTTTATAGTTACCGTCGGTAACTATGACTATGTCTGGAATTTTATTTTTCATCCAAATGGTGCCATTGAAAGCAAAGTCCAAGCAACTGGGTACATAATCTCATCTTTCCTCTATAGTGATGGGCTGGATTATGGTAATAGAGTTGCAGATCACACACTTGGTACAGTCCATACTCATGTCATCAACTACAAAGTTGATTTAGATGTTGGAGGTAAGTCCTTGGGAGTCTTAAATAGTTTTGATTGTTGCAATTTTGCACTATTTTCTGCTGTTGTTGGCAACTCTCTGCCCCACTGCTTATTTTTATTGTTCTTTATCTAAGTTTGGGTTTCTTATGGAAAAGCCATAAGGTTAGTAGAATTAGAGACCAGAGTAGAAACTGATGATTGCCCACCTTGGTCAGATAGTCAATATTGATGAGCTGCAGAATTATTTAATATATTAATATTTTCTAGTGAATCTCCACACCTACTGTACAAAGCTTACGACTCAAGTTCCAGAGCAAAGTATCTCTGCACCTGCACCTGAAGAGGGCACCATTTGAACACTAAAAATGTTTTCATATCTCTCTCCCTCCCTCTCCCTCTCCCTCTCTCTCTTTCTCTCTCTCTCTCCTTCTCTCTCCTTCCCTCCCCCCCTCTCCCTCTTCTCCATATTCTTATCTTCTTCAGTTCCAGTTTCTTATCTTGCACTGGTCAGTGGCTGCAAGAATAGGAATGTCAATGATAAGCAATAATTTACAATTGGTTAGGTTCAGCTTTTTAAAGTCCTTAGGGTAAGAGCAGTTAGGATTAGATAACAAGTTAAAGGATTTTCTCAGTTTAAGTTTGTATAGTATACATACTCAATTTCATATAACCTTTGTTGTGTCAGTCCTGGATTTAATGTATTTTGGGTGTTTACTCATATTCCAATATATGTAACTACCTAACATTTTATAATCCTATAAGCATACCTACCATTCTCATGGCTGTAAAGGCCTAGAGAGGCAATTCTTTTTGTGCCTTCAGCTACCCTTAAAAAAACAACACCACTCTTATAAAACACAGATATTTTCCACGATTTATGTCAGCAATCCAGATCACTATTAGTCATGCCATAGTTGTTCTGCAGGGAGTGATTTGGGAATATAAGAACCCTGCTGGTCCAGATCAAGGTTTATCTAGTCTAACATCTGGTAAAACGTTGACATTTATGCAATAAGAGTTCCTTTCTCCCCGTTTCATAACTTGCATATAGAAAGACTAGTTTTCTTTAATATTATAATTTTAGAGTAATAGATTATAGCAGCACTATAACTACTTTTACAAGTTAATTGTTTTACTGCATTATGAAATAAGAATAGAATTTAGATACATTAAACTAAAATACTGAAATACATTATAGAAAATAACTGGATACTGTGATATTTATACAGAAACTGAAAATATTAACACAGTAAGATTAAGATAAATTGAACCTTTAAAGATGAGAAAACAAATTTATTTCAAGACTGAACATTATTTATAGGATATCAATGAACAAAAACTGACATTAATAAAAAATTGCAAAATGTATTGAATTCTTGCAAAATGTGGAAAAGATTTTGATTTAGCTTAGTGATAGCACAAGGTTTATTATATATTATAATATAGCATAATAATGCTATATTCTACTATTATTGTAACTTTCTCTGATCTTATAGATAGTAAGGCTATAAATGGTTACCAGTGATAATAGTAATATATAGCCACTATCCCTGGTAACCATTTACGACCTTGTTTTATATAAGCCTGTAACCCCCTTTTAAAACCACCCAGGTTTGTTATTATCACTGTATCTTTGGATACTTTCCACAGTTTACCTGTTTGCATTGTGAGCATTAGTCTGCAGAGAAAAGAAATATAAATGTGGACATGTTTTATATTTTCATGATTTTAGAGGCATCAGAAATGGTGTAATGAGAATTAGTAATGTAAATATATAGTACAGCTATGCAATCAATAATCATTAAATTGTTTTCATTCTGATTTGTTCTTTTAGTGCTCCTTTGATTAAACTGTTGAAATATATACTCAGCTGCAGTTTTGTACTTAAATACAGATAGTCCTCAACTTACAACCATTCGTTTAATGACTGTTCAAAGTTACAATGGCACTGAAAAAGTGACATATGGTTGTTTTTTACACTTACAACCATTGCATCCTCCCTGTGGTCATATGATCAGAATTTGGACACTTGGCAACTAGCATGAATTTATGACATTTGCAGTGTCCCGGGATCATGTGATCACTTTTTGCAACCTTTTGACAAGCAAAGTCAATGGAGAAGCCAGATTCACTTAACAACCATGTTACTAATTTAACAACTGTAATGGTTCACTTAACAAAAGTGGCAAGAAAAGTCATAAAATGGGGTAAAATTCACTTAACAATTGTCTTGCATAGCAATAGAAATTCTGGGCTCAGTTGTGGTTGTAAATTGAGAAATACAGATTAAATATATGTCTTATGGCTATATTCCGTAATCCAGATCCAAACTGTGATGGATCTCTGAGTTTAGCATAAACAAATAAATAAAATAAAGTAGACTGCATAAGCTTTAAACCTGCCCAAATCAAGTGGCATATACATTTAATAAATAGGTAAATAAATAAATAAAATCTGGCCTGTAAAAATTCAGTAAATCTAATTTGGCCTTTGTTGCCTATGATGGTACAGATAGCTCAAGCAAATATACAACTGTTCAAAGTTATGAGGCTGAATAGTGGGATTTATGACTGGTTCTTATAACTATGACTGGCACAGCATCCCAACTATGTGATTACAATTTGGGCCCTTGATGCAATATTCCATACTCATGGGATCACCATTGGTGATCTTCACTGTAGGCTTCCAACAAGTCAATGAGGAAGCTGGCAAGAGATCACAAATGGCAATTGTGTGATATCACACTTAATGACCGCACAGGATTTGATGGCAACTGGAGTGCTGGAATTCCCACTGTAAGTTGGCAAAATCACATGATGTTACCCTTTACAATTATGTTACTTGCTGATAGAATAGCCAGTCCCAATTACAGTTATTAATCTATGACTGCCTGTACTTATTAACCCTGAGTTTCTACTTTTTTTGTAACTGAATCCATATATTTATACACCTCTTCTTCTTCTTTAGTGACTGAAATTTGTTGCAGTGATTTGATCTTTAAGGAAAATGGAGTAGAAGATTATTGGTTGCTGCAGTTTCATTTCTCTCCAACAGTGTTCTATGACTCATTGCTTCCCCTTTTTTTGCCCCCTCACAGGAATGAAAGATTGCTTAAACAAGCTATCTCTTCCTGAGCCACTTTTCTCCCCAAAGTGTTAACTGCAGGTTGACAAGCTCAGCTGTGTGACCTTAAATTAGTTGATTTAATCCCTCCAAACAGCTCACACTGACTGAAATTGACCAGACCTTCATCAGTCTCACTCTGAAATCTTTTGTTGTCAAGTACCCAAAATTTAGTCCTAAATGCATGCATTGGGTGGAAAATGAATTTTAATTATCATTTATTACAGTCTAATTTGCAAATGGGCACTAATCAAGGTAGTTGCTAACTGAGGATTAGCTGTAATGATTTTGATAAAGCCAATATGAGAAGATTTCTTTGTGCCTGGAATGTCTCTACAAGTAACAGCTCAAGACTCAGGGTTCTTCCACATAGCCACATTAAAGTTCTGTTTGCTATAGTAGTCCTTGAACCAGGAGCAAAGCGTGTTGGCATTAATTGTACTCCTATTGTTAATTTCTATTCTACCAACAGAGACAGGCCAGTCGTACTATTTTTATTTACATAATATGTCAATTCTAGGAAAATAATCAGGGTACTCCCTGGACATCATTTCTTTTCCTACCAAACTCACTTGTTGCAGGTGCAACCACTACCAAATGCTTTCCTTTTTGACCAAAGGGGAGTGGTGCTGGATGACTTTAAGTGAGGCTAGCCTCAATGAAGGGGGTATGGTCACATGAAGCTGCCTAAGCAAGAGATGCTTGATGCACTTCCTTCTCTGTATCTGTACCATGTCAGTAGATTTAGTTTTCTGAAACAGCACTAAAAGTATATTCAAAAATAGCCTGTCTGATAGGTTACAGATGTGGAGAAAAGTTGTAAGTGAAGCACAAAAGAAGAAACAGATAATCAGTGCTTTTTTTTGTTAAAAAAAAAAAGGTGCCAGAACTCATACATGTCATACAACCCGCCTTGCCTACCCTACAAGGTTCCATTCAAAAAAGGTGCCGAAACTCCATTCTGGGCATTCTATGACAAAAAAAGCCCTGCAGATAATTATCAAGATTTTCCCTTGTTTTACCAAACTGAAAAGGTTGTAAAAGCAAGAATTAGTCATAACTGCAGATAGTTATTATATGAAGCAGTTGCTAAATGAGAACTATTTGTATTTCAAGGAATGGAAGGAAGTGTTAGCAGCAAATGAGAAAAGAATCCAATTCTGGCAGTATTCATATATAGTTAATAACCATAGAGAACACACTATTTGACCTGCCCATATATAACAGCATTTGTCCCCACAGCGCATAATACCACCAAAGTTGGAGTACAGTAAATACATGGCATCACTCCCCCATCAGGACAGTGTAAATAACCATGGTATATCACATAAGCAGTCATAGGAACTGCAGCTTCATGAAATAGGATGGGTGTTAGGAGTGGTTAGTTCTAAGGCTTATGTTCAAGTTTCCCAAAGTAATAAAAACATACTGAAACACTAAACCCTAAAAAAAAATACCCAACATGGCCATATAAAGCCCCAGATGGCAATACACACACACACACACACACACTGCATCCAAATAGTGACATGCAGCTTTCAAAAGAGCACTAAGCTTTGGATGACCTTTATGTGGGCTGATGCCTCTGTGGAATTCAGGTGTCTCCTCATTCTGCAGCCCAAGCCAAAATTGGAGGGAACCCAACAACTGGAGGAAAGAAGTCATGTCTACAGCAGCTTAAAGTACTGTGCTGAATAGAAACTGGACATATCACAATTCATGAGCATGTCACTTCATAAATTGTCAATGAAGTATGCCAGATTATATCCACAGAAAAAAATGTGTTAGGATAAAACTCAGCTATGGACTGGAAATGGGCTAAAGGAAACATCATGAGAACAAGGCAGAAAATTGGTTGTATTGTGATTTGGGGGTAAATGAGAAAAATCCCCTATCTCACCCTCTTACTTTCTTCCCCTTCCCTTTTTCTTTCTAGGTGCAAAAAATTCCTTGGTTACCAATGATATGACTTTTGAGACAGTGAAGGCTCCCTGGAATCCAGACCATGAGATTCGGAGAATGAAACTGGTAAAAAAGGTCTTGGATACTGAAGATCAGGCTGCCTTCCGCCATAATGATAAGATGCCAAGATACATATATTTTGCAGCAAACAACACCAACAAGTGGGGCCATAAGCGCGGCTACCTAATCCAGACCATTAGCTTTGCCGGAGATCATCTCCCAGAGGCAGATCCAATGGAAAGAGCTATCAGTTGGGGCAGGTAAGCAGTCCTTTTCTAAGCACCAATGTCCAATGCTTTTGTTTATTTATTAATTTACTTGCTTGATTTGAAATGGGGCTTTCCTGTTCAAAATTAGTACTCCAGATAAGTTACAGTTTAAAGCAATAGACACATACGCAGAGAAAAAAAAAGATTAAAACAGATAACTAAAATATAAATTATGAAAGCATTAACTGCTAACTCTTTTTACCACTTTTCTCTCAAGGCAGAGAAATCTGGAGCCCAATGCAATTCCAAAGTATATTCTAGAATCTAAGAAAAAGAAGGAAGTCCTCTCTGTATACCTGGTAGATAAGCCTTTGAGAGCAGGCTTATCAGAAGAGGCTTTCTTTGAATTTGACATTAAACAATAATCACAACATTGCCATTGTTCCCTTTTTAGGGAAAGTTACCGAGAAGATGTGCTACTGAGCAGCAACAAAGTACTCTAGAGCAGTGGTTCTCAACCTTCCTAATGCCGCGACCCTTTAATACAGTTCCTCATGTTGTGGTGACCCCCAACCATAAAATTATTTTCGTTGCTACTTCATAACTGTAATTTTGCTACTGTTATGAATCGTAATGTAAATATCTGATATGCAGGGTGTATTTTCATTGTTACGAACTGAACATAATTAAAGCATAGTGATTAATCACAAAAACAATATAGCAATGCTCGCTGGAGAAGCTTACTCTTCCTTACTCAAAAATATTGGGAGGGAGGGAAGGGGAAGGAAGGAAGGAAGATTGAAGGGGAAAGGAAGGAGATGGAGAAGGAAGGAGATTGAAGGGGAAAGGAAGGAAGGAAGGAAGGAGAAAGAGATTGAAGTGGAAGAGATGGAGATGGAAGGAAGGAAGGAAGGAAGATTGAAGGGGAAAGGAAGGAGATGGAGAAGGAAGGAGATTGA